TATGACCTCAGTCATATGACTTCACTAATTGAACTTAGTAATATGACCTGTTATGACCTGGTCATGTGCCAACACTGCTTCGGACAGCTCGTTTAATCTTTAATTTTGGCCAATCAGAGTTCTTGCCGATCAGACAATAACATTTCTAATCAAAAATAGAAGTCATTTTAAATGCTAAGGCGACCGATAAGTATATAAACAGTTACACAGTTACACATAAGTCATTGAGAGATTTTGCGATATATTTTTTACCGTCTTTTTCATTTCGACACAATCGATATTTTTACGATAGTTTTTATCAATAGCAAGACAAACTAACATTCACGATTTTTTACACTTCATTCCCAAAAGTAATATTATGGTTGAAGATTTTAATGACGATTGCAAAATTTCAGTGCTCGAAAAAATTGCCGAAGAATTTGACGGAGCAAATACATTGTTTAAATTTGCACTTTTGAATCGAAAGGTTGATATTTCTTCGTTTTTTGATTTGGATTCTTTCGTTTTCTTTCAAAATATTAATTCAATTAAAACATTGTCAACAGTGGAATATTCTGGCAACAGAGTGTCTTTATAAGGATCCATGGAAATTTTGGTTATACCGTCGTGACCAAATATTAGCGAAGAAATTAATAAATACTTTCATATTTTGCTATAACAGCTCAAAATTTGCAAATTCAAGCAATAATAGAGCAAGCAGAGATGAGCCAATTATAAAAAAACCTTACACCAAAGGAAATACCCAAGATACAAATATTCCTATTTATGATTACATTGCGATGGCAAAAAACTTGCATATGCCTGCCTTGTATCAATGTATTGAATCATGGTACGAATCAACCAGATCACCTACTATTCAACCAAACGATATAACAGACGACGATATGAGATCAGAAATTAACAATCAATTTTCTCGGCTTTTTAGAAAGTTTATTGATAGTGCATACATTAAAGAATGCACTTTTCACGAATCGGCATTGAATGCCGCGTATCCGGCAACATTGCAACATTTGAATGACCTTATAACAGCTAGAGGTGATAGTTTGCGTTATCTTAATTTGGGTTTTTTCAAATGTAATGATGAAGGCTTGAACATCCTTGCTAAGGAATGTACGACACTGGAGACATTCAAAATTAAAGCTTCTGATTGTTCTGACAAAGAATTGGCAAATTTTTTGAGAACGCAACAAAAACTAACAAAACTTAAAATTCGTGATGCGGTTGGAATGAAAGAAACTATGGACGCGATAAAAACGCTATCACATTCCCTTGTGAAGCTCCGCATTCTCAATTGTGATCTTGAAAATTGCACAACACCTTTTACTGGTATTGGCGATTGTACTCATCTCCGTTCGCTCTATATGCGTAACATACGATTTACAAAGACTACATCATTATCACAACTTCTAATGCCGATTGCACGTTGTGAATTTCATAACATAGATTTTTCGAAAACACAACTTCCTGTTGAAGTGTTAACTGAAATTGCAAAAAAATCGTCAACAACTTTGCGACGTGTTCATCTTATACGACCAGATAACGAGGTGTATATCAATCTCTCCGCTGGAATTGAAGCATTGGCCCAATATGCCATAAACCTTCGTCATTTTGAACGGAATATTCATCCGTCAGAAGTTAATTCAATATGTTACTTCTTAGACACGATCGGACAATCTTTGGAAACGTTGGAAATAGATTCCAACATGGATGGGCATGACATGTCAAACTTGATTGAATGCATTGGTAGAAAATGCTCGAATTTATCTGTATTAAATATTAGTAGTTTTGAATTTAACCCTGATGCCTTTAAAGTATTAATAGAAGGATGTTCCTTATTGCATACATTGGTTATTTGCGATTCACAATCAGTCAACGACAGAATATTAGAGTTACTTTATCATGCTGATGTGTTACAATCATTAGAGATTTTGGGATGTCCTAATATATCAATTGAAGCAATTGATCGATTTCAAAAGGAAAGGAAAGAAATCGAAGTAGGATATCAATAATACGAACATGTATATGACATGCAAGATAGAACATTCTATTTATTATTTTATTAGTGGTTGTTAAGTATATTTTATCATTGCGAACTAGTTGTTATTAATTATTATTGTTAATTGCAATTATCAAACTGTCTTGCCATATTTGTATTTTTTTCACTATTTGTAAATATTTTCAATTTATCATATATAAAACTATAGTATTTGTTTACTAATAATATATTATAGCTGTAATTTGTATGTGTTTGATTATATATTTTATTTTTTAAAAATCAAATTTATAAATAATAAATTTAATGAGCATAATAGTAAATAATAGTTGAATTTAAAAAAATTATAGTTTTTTTAAAATTTTTTTGTATTAAAAAAAACAATATTATAAAAGGATTTTACTAAAACACACCTATGGTGTTTTACACCTATGTATACATTATCTCAAAAACTGGTTAATTAATCGGTGTGAGGTGTTCTAAGTAAAAATGTTTTACACCCCAAAAACCCTTCCCAAACCCTAATCCTAACCTTCATATTAACTTTAACGTGTTAAAAATTTTATATTAAACTTGGAAAATTTAAAAAAAAAAATATAATAAAAACATATAGGTGTAAAATGGGCGTTCCATTAGGGTGTGCAACGGCCTATAGGTAGGGTCACTAATGATCATCACTAATTGCAGATTTTTTATTGGAATCAATACACACATGTTAATTTTGGATGCATACATATTAATCTTATTAAAACAAAAATTAGATTTATTGAAATAAATAATTAACTAAATAGAATACTATTTTTTTTTTTAAATTGAACCTCAAGACTAGCTCTACACT